TAAACTCGATTCAACCGGTCTTCCTTAAGGCTCCTTTCTTTAATCTCGGTAAGCTCCTCAGTTATTTTTCCCCTCAGTCTTGATTCCCATGGGACCTTACCTTTGCGCTCTCTGAGCTTACCAAAATCTGCCTCTCTGAAATCCATTGTCTCTATTTTGCTGTTCTCCCTTCTACCCTTCCTTAGAATTGCAAACGCTATGATTTCATGATCACTTTCACACAAACTGCTTTCTACTTTCAAATTCTCAACGAGTTCCTCCCTATTTGTTAAAATCAAGTCTAGAACAGCTTCCCCCCAGTAGCTTTTTCAACCTTCTGAAATAAAAAGTTATCTGCAATGCAGTCCAAGAGTTTGTTGGATAGTCTGTGCCCCGCTGTGTTATTTTCCCAACATATAGCCGGATAGTTGAAGTCCCCCATCACCACCAAATCTTGGGCTTTGGATGATTTTGTTAGTTGTTTAAAAAAAGCCTCATCCACCTCTTCCACCTTGTTAGGTGGCCTGTAGTCGATTCCTAGCATGACATCACCCTTGTTTTTACCCCTTTTAGCCTAACCCAGAGACTCTCAACACTTCCGTCTCCTATGTCCATCTCCACCCCAGTCCAAGTGTGTACATTTTTAATATATAAGGCAACACCTCCTCCCTTTTCCCCCTGTCTATCCTTCCTGAGCAAGCTGTACCCATCCACACCAACATTCCAATGATGTGTATTATCCCACCAAGTTTCAGTGAGGCCAACAATGTCATAGTTGTATTTATTTATTAGCACTTCCAGTTCTTCCTGCTTATTCCCCATACTTCTCGCATTTGTATATAGGCATCTAAAATACTGGTTTGATCTTTCCTCCCAGTTTTGTCCTGACCCTCCTTTCTCTCAGCCAATATAGCCCACACTCCCTCTCGTTTCTGACCCATATCCCAGGTCTCCATGTTCCCCACTTACCTGCGGGCTTTGCTCAGCTGTCCCCATCGAACCTAGTTTAAAGTGAATAAATGAAGACTCGGCACACCACTTCTGAAAAGTTGCCTACCCCTGGTTTAACATCTTTATCAATGACCTGGATGGAGTACTAGGGAGCAGACTGAACAAATCTGTAGATGACACAAAGCTAGTGGGGGTTGCCAATACTTTGGAAGTGGAGATAAAACTGAGAGGAATCTTGATAAATTGCAGAACTGGACTGTAGACGACACAATGAAATTCATGAAGGACAAATGGAAGGAACTCCATTTAGGGAAGAAAACCCAAATGCACAAATACAGGATTGGGAAGAACTGGCCTGGCAGTAGCACTGCTGAAAATGAGCTGGGAGTTGTGGCAGATCACAGCCATGACATGAGTCAGCAATGCGATGCTGTTGCAAAAAAACAAATGTAATTTCAGGTTCCATGAACAGAGGCAGAGCATGCAAGTCACGGGAGGTGACAGTACCACTCTATGCCTCAGCTGGAGCCTGTGTCCAGTTTTCGTCACCAATGTATAGAAAAGATGTAGAGAAACTGGAAAGGATCCAGAGGCGAGGGATAAAGATGATCGAAGGGATGGAATGGAAGCCCTAGGGGCACAGTCTGAGGGAACTGGGCATGGTTAGTTTGGAAAAGAGATTGGCGGGGTGGGAGGGGACATGATCACCATTTTCAAATACTTGAAAGGCTGCCATCAAGGAGATTGTTCTCTCTCGCCCCACAGGGCAGGACAAGGGGCAACAGGTTCAAACTACAGCACAGTCAATTGAGATTAAATCTCAGGGAAAACTCCCCAGCTGTGTGAGCAGTCAAACAATGGACCAGGTGCCCAAGGAGGTCATGAAAGCTTCTTCACCGGAGGGTTTTGAGAGGAGGCTGGACAGCATCTGTCTGGGATGGGTTAGACCCAACCAATGCTACACTTTGGCAGGGGTTGGACTAGGTGACCCCTGCAGTCCCGTCTCACCCTGTGGGCCTGTGATTCCAGGAATCACTAAAAAGTCCCAAGATATAATGTGAAGATCATGACATTGGAACACCACCCCCCCGAAATTCTCTAATAAATCCTGAGATTTCCTCTAAGAGTCATGTGATTGGCTGAAAAAGGTTTCAAAATCCTGAGACTGGGTTTTAAAATCCACAGATTTGTGCTTTGCCTCCAAACACCCTGTTGTTTGCAGCCCATTAGCCCGTTTGCTCACACTACCCCCCCCCGCCCCTGCGCAGTGATGTTGTCGCCCCTGCACGGTGAGGGGCTGGTTCTGCAGGGACCCAGTGCAAATGAATGTGGGTAAATCATCCCGGGGGGGTGAGGGGTGCTGCAGGGAGCTCATGGCTTCCCCCTCTGCAGACAGGGTGGGGCCCTAATGCTGCCCTCCCTGCCCCACAGCTGCATTCCCCCCTCCCCCACTCCACACTGCTCCTTCTGCAGCTGGGACTCTCCTAATTGTCAGTGTTACAGACCCTCCATCCTCTTCACTCTTGTGAGAATGGTAGGGTCCACTCCCTCCTTTCCCCTTCTCACATGTGAATTGGCCCACTCACACCTTCCCCCATCTTTACCTGTTAAAATGGTATGGGCCTCTCACCCCTGCCTCCCCCTACCACATCCACTGCTGTGGGCTGGGTGGTCTCAGCTCAGATTCCCCCATGGCCCATGCACCATCCCCTGCCAGAGCAGGGTGGGACGGGCCCCGTTGCCCAGGGCTGGAGGGGAAGGGGCTGGCCCCGAGAGATCTAGACTCCAACCACATCCCTTGGGGCTGCCCTGTCCCCCAAAAGTATCTGGGAGACCCTGGGGGTCTGTGCCCCACACAACCCACACTTTGCGCTAACCCAACTCCATGGGGGGCAATGGAGTGAGCGCAGTTGGACTATGGGTGAATAGTTTGCATGTATGTGCTCAACCTGGGCTATCTATAAATACGCCCTCTGCAATACCTGCCCTCCTTGCCCCCCAGAACCACCCATATGGGGAAGGGGAAACCACTGGGAGTTCCATTTCCCACCATCCCTCTGCTGCCCTCAGGTGTTCTCGGGAAGGAGGCTGAGAGGTGAGAGCTGGGGAACCCCCTGCTGTACGTGGCCCCCTGAGCCGATGCCTCCAGTCTGGTCCTCATAGTGGGGGAGCCCTGGGGCGGAACTCCGCTCGGGCTGGAGGGGCCACGGCAGAGCTGTGGGGGTGGGGAGCCGAGGGCTGGGATGGCAAGGGGCTGCGGGTCAGTATTGAGGGGCACTCCAGTCTCCACAGACCTTCCAGCTCCCTCCCCCACCCTAGTTTCACTCACCCCTAGACCTGCAGAGGGGGGCCCGCTGCCTGGCTCTCTGTCCCTGCAGCCCGGGTTCCTCACGGTTTGTGACTCGGAGCCTGGGGAAGCAGCATGCACAGGAACCTGAAAGCAGAAGTGGGCGCTGGCAGGGGCCGTTGGGGGGAGATGCTTTCTCAGAAACCCCAGAATCAGCACCCGGCCAACTTCCCCTCCCTCTGGCTGGCACTGCCTGCAGCTTCCCTGCAACAGGGGCAGGCTGCATATTGCTTGTGGGGCCATAAATAGAACCCAGGAGTCCAGACTCTGAGCCCCTCCACACCTCACTATGCTCCCAGAGCTGGGACAGAACCCAGGAGTCCTGACTCCCTGCCTCCAACCCACACTGTAACCCACTAGACTCTGCTCCCCTCCCAGAGCTGGGATACAACCCAGGAGTCCTGGATTCCAGCCCCCCTACTCTAACCTGCCAGACCCTCCTCATCTCCAAGAGCCAGGGATAGAACCCAGTAGTGGTGGGGCGCCCAGCCCCTGCATCGGCTCTAACCTTTCATTACTGCTTTCTACAGTTACAAAACAATATTTGAACACTAGCAGTTTGCACCTCTTATCATATTGTACATGCTGCAGATACTAATCACTTACCCGGAGCTGAGATGCGTTCGCCTCTGGGGTGGGGCAGCTGCAAAGAGCGCACTGGCGGCCGCTCAGAGAATTCTTCCTAAATACTAAATCCTAAAATACTGAATTAACTTTAGGAAAAACAAAGAAATATGCACAGATCCATGTGGAAATCATTGTCATTCATTATTTAGGGGGTTTTGCCTTCTCAATAATAAAAATAATGTTCAGTTCTCTCCATTCTTTCCTGGACCTATACTGAATAGAAACATAAATAAGGGGCTTTGAACATTCCTGTCTTTTGTTGTTGTTACTATTTTTTCCCATGGGTGTTCCAGCCCGGGAGCACCCACAGAGTTGGCCCCTGAGCTTTTTACAGCCTCCCAACTAACTCCTAAGTCTGCTGTCAAAAGGGACAAACATACACGGATCTCTTTTCCCAGCAGACTTACTCAGCCCCAGAAGTGCAGGAGACAAATTAAGCCCTCGATGGGGAGATGGGTAGGGAGGCCGTGGGGGCCAGAGGCGATAGGGGGCCAGGGGTGATGGGGGACTTGGGGAGGCAGTGGGGGCCATGGGTGAGGGGGGGTGAGCCCAGGGCCAGAACCTACTGCTGCATGGCCAGGAGACAGATCCCAAAGCCCATGGGACAGGGCCTAGGGATGGACCCCGGGGCCCAGAGTTGGAGCCCGAAACCCCACACCTGGAGCCCGCCACCCCAGGGCTGAAGACCGACTCCATCACCCCTGGGAAGGTGGGGAACTCATTGGCCCCCTGCTCCTCCAGTGTTTGTGTCTCCAGATGGGGCAGGGCCAAACCCCCGCTGGTGGGCCCGGAAGAGGGGTCCCTGCTTGCCCCCCCCCCAATCACCACCCAAGTGGTTGTGGCCACAAGAAAACCCGTATTTGAGAAACACGGCCCTAGAACGTCTTGCACAACCTGGATCCACTGGCTGGAGATCTCGGTGCCATCGACTCAAGGAGAGAGATTGTCACAGATACAGGCCAGCTCCCACGGACAGACAGCTTCTGACCCCACCATGGGTATTTCCCCTCTGGGGTCTCTTAGCAAGGGAAAGATCAGATCTTAGCAGATCAGAGCCATTGCGCGCAGACTTATTTTCTGTCTCCCGGTTCCTCAAACACCTCCCAGGTCCCAGGTCACTGAGGATTCCCTAGTGATGAGAGCTGGGTCAGCAGGTCTCAGGAGAGCAGCTGGATTCCAGAGGTCACTGTCTCCAGCCTTTGATTTAAGAGCTGAGAAGCAGCTGAATCTGGGGTGGAACGTGGGGGCTGTTTATACAGATATCCCTCACCCAGAGCTGAGCTGCAAAAGTGTCTGGGAAACCTATAACTAAAATAAACACAATGCCCCCTACATGCATTGAGGGCAGCCCCGATGTCCGGGCACTTCCCAGTCTCCCACTCTGGCCCAGTCTCCCAGCCAGACCCTGGCCCTCTCTGCCAAAGGCCAGTGGCACATCAAGTTCTGCCCTCCTGTGTGTGGGCACTGGTGGCTGTGCTGGGAAGCTGGTTGCTGAGCGGATCTTGTACAACAGAAAGTTTCCAGTACATGAGTTTGCTCCACCTCTGGCGTAATTGAGGCCGGGCGAGAGCTGCGGAGAGCAGGTGAGCAGGTGTGACAAAGCTGGGTTTTTCGTTTTGTTTTTTCAGTGGTTTGCATACAGAGGGATTGGACTCAGTTTCTCTGGGTGTTACTGGTTTAACAAGGTGGTGGGAGAGGGAGTTTGTTGTTAGCGAGGCCCAGCGACGGAACTTCGGACCCCAGCCAATGGCCTGGAGGATGGATATCCCAGCGACTGGTGACCGGGAGGCCCAGCTCAGGAGTCGTAGCCAGTTCTGGCCAGTCGGAGGACAATGGGCTGTGGGGAGAGGACCCCAGTGACCTGGCCAGTCAGTTCCAGCCAGAGTGGAAACAAAGGATGGATGAGAGGAAAGGAGACCCAGTCAGCCTGTCTACCTGGGACAGAAGACAAAGGACAGAGGCGGGACTTGGGCTATGGTGATATTGGATGCCCAGCTGGAAGGAGGGGATACTTAGATGTCCTGTGCTGAAGGAGGCCAAGCCTGTGGCCTTGAGAGTTTCCTGTGCTGTGTTCAGAAGCTCTGTCATAAATATAAAGGGAAGGGTAACAACCTTCCTGTATACAGTACTATAAAATCCCTCCTGGCCAGAGGCACAAAATCCTTTTACCTGTAAAGGGTTAAGCAACTCAGGTAACCTAACTCGCACCTGACCAAAGGGACTAATAAGGGGACAAGATACTTTCAAATCTCGGGGGGAGGGAGAGGCTTTGTTTTGTCTGTCTGTTCTGTGTGCTTGCTGGAGACAGATCAAGAAGGCAAGCAATCCAACTCCATTAGAGTTAGTAAGTAATAATAAGGGAAGGCGTTAGCTTTCTTTTATTTTGGCTTGTGATTTTCTTTGTCTAGAGGGAGGTTTTGTCTAGAGGGAGGTTTATCCCTGGATTTGTAACTTTAAGGTTTTGTCTAGAGGGGAGATCCTATATGATCTTGAGTCTTTTGTTATTCTGTAAAGTACTTACCATCCCAATTTTACAGAGCTGATTCTTTTACCTTTTCTTTAATTAAAATAATTCTTTTAAGAACCTGATTGATTTTTCATCATTTTAAGATCCAAGGGTTTGGGTCTGTGTTTACCTGTATCAGTTGGTGAGGATATTATTCTCAAGCCTTCCCTAGGAAAGGGGGTTTAGGGGCTTGTGGGATTATTCTCAAGACTGTCCAGAAAAAGGGGTGTAGGAGCTTGGGGGGATATTTGGGAAAGGTAGGGCTCCAAGTGGCCCTCCCTAAATGTTTGTTTATATCACTTGGTGGTGGCAGTGTTACTTAATCCATGGAATAGGGGAGTTTTTAAACCTAAGCTGGTAGAAATAAGCTTAGGGGGTCTTCATGCGGGTCCCCAAGTCTGTACCCTAAAGTTCAGAGTAGGGAGGGAATCCTGACATGCTCAATAAATTCTTCTGTGTTATGCTGGCTGAGAGACACTACAGTCTAGAAATCAGGATTGAATTATTTTTTCTAGGTGTGGAGTCCCAGGGGTCCAGAGCGAGTGGAGTCCCTGAGGGGGCCCACGGCAAGAGACAGGGGTGCTAAGGCTCAGAGAGGTGCGGTTCCCGGAGGCGGAGGGGCTTACGGCTTAACCCCCAAGTGTGAATGGATCCCCGAGAAGGACTGTTGCCCTGAACGGGGTTCCTCCCAGGGACCATACGGAGCCAAAAGAGAGCACGAGTCCTGTGAGTCTGGGACAACTTGGTAGCAGAGGATGGTTGGTGGCAGGGCCATCCCTAGGGGCGGGTGCGGAACCTAGGACAACCCTCCGCTCCTGCCCAGGCCTCGCCCCGCCCCCACCCCACCTCTATCCCAACCCCACCCCGCCTGTTCCCGCCGCTGCTCCACATGCTCCCCACACCCATTCCATTCCATCCCTTCCCCCAAACCCCGTCCCACCTCTTCCTGCCATTGCTCCACCCCCCCAGACTCCCCACTAACCCCCCAGGCCTCCCTGGACACCGCATCCTGAAGCACGGGGCTCCCCAAAGTGTGGGGCCCAGCGCAGTTGCCCAGGTCCATCCTATGGATGGGACAGCTCTGGTTAATGCTGTCATCAGATGTTCGGCTGCGTGTGTGTTCTCCCTATATGCCATCCCAGCTCTGCGCACACAGCCGGACCAGCAGACCTCAAGCAATCCACCCAATGACCACAAGATCTGTCAAGATTCGAAGGCGCTTAGTCAGGTTTATTGTCAGCATAGCAGGGTCATAGCTCCCCAGATCAATGTCTACAGTTATGCTAACACATGTCTGCCTGTGACAATGGACCAGCTCAGTTAGTGGCAGGACTTTCCACTATCCCCTGTGACACTCCCTGTGAGATACATCTTTATACACCAATACAAACAAGTTACGCATCACTCCTGACATATCGGGGTGCCACCAATGGACGTGTTCAGGGGCCTCCCATTACCTGTATATGTTGGTTCGATCAAAACATCTCTATCCATCACCCTGTCATCCTCCTTTTTCAGATGGGTCAGCGTGTTCCTGGTATCTGTGGGGACTGTGCTGGTATCGAGTGTTCTGGTACCACCCTTCTGGAATGTGTTGTATGCCTGGCAACATTGGCCCTGTGCTTGCCAAATTCTGTGAGCAGGGCCTGCCTCTTGCTCACAACCTGACTTTGCTTTATAGTAGCAAGTTTTGACCATTACTTTAGCTCAGGCCTTAGGTTTCATACCAGGCCTCTGATACACAGATGAATATTTCAGGCTCTCTTCCTACTACAGATGGATGCACCCTGTATGCAGTTGGCTGTGAGCTGAGGGGCTCTGCAGTGAGTGGCTGCCAGCGATAAAACAAGGGAATTGAATTAACCAGTGAGGAAATTGCCTATAACCAGCTCCCTAAAAGGGAACTGGCACGTCTGTGTGGGGAGAGAGGGCTGAGCGTTGGGAGGCTCACCCAGAAGCAGCTGATTGCCCGGCTGGTAGAGAGTGACCAATCCGAGGAGGAAGTTCCAGTTCCCAGCAGGGCTCCCGGGATTCCTGGACAGCCTGGGAGTAGCCAGGGGGGCAGTGAGTGTAGGATCCGGGAGTCTATCAGACCTGATTTCCCAATCAGCAGGAGGGCTGCCCAATCAGGTTTCTCCCCAGAGGAGCTGCGGAGACTGGAGCTGGAGCTGAAAGCGAAGGAGCTGGAACTGGAGAAGCAGAGGCTGGCGAACAGAGAGAGAGAACAAGACTGCTCAAAGGTGGGACTCCAGGAAGCCCACCTCAGGGGTGCCCGTGAAGGCCAGGGTAGGCCAATCCCCCACATGGGACTTGAGGGACCTGAAATGTAATTACTGTGGTCATTAAGGACACAAGGTGGTCTAATGCCTGAAGATGAAGGAAATGGCAGCCAAGCAGAACCCTCGGGATGTCAACTAGGTGGGAGCCGACCTAGAGGGGGCACCGCCAGTCCAGGGGGCTGCAGTTGACATGGCTGTGTCAGGGGGAGGGGACCGCCAGGCCAGGCCAGCTGGGGAAGACGGGGCTCCAGCCCCACACTCAATTTGCCGACCGACCTGGGGGGACAATTGCCACATCATCCCCATTGAGGTGAGGGGAAGGAGTGTCCAG